GCAGTTTTGTGTGCATTAGAAATTATTAAGAATTTTTGCATGCCAAAAAAGTATAGGGGTTTTTTTTTGGCATGCAAGCACATTCCAGTTGAACATGATCATTTTGGGGGTAATTTGCTAATTTGGGAGTAAATGTTCTGGATACCATATGAATACTCTGATCAAATGCCACCAACAGTAGCCATTCTAGCTGACAGCTTGTTTCAGGAAATTATATGAATGTAGGAAATGTGAATTAAACTGTTCATTTTACATGAGTCAAAGACATTTGTCTCCTGGAGTTAATTCTCACAAGTAAACTATCTAGTGGACTTGAACATCTTGCTTCAAGAATGATCATAATTGCTCTCTGGAATTGTTCTGTCCTGGAGAAACCTAACCCTAACCCTAACTTCAACCCTAATCCGTAGGTTTGCTTTATGTTTATTCTTCCCTTCTTCTCCAACACTCAGTGTGCAGCTTCTACTCTACCTTCTTACTATCCCTTGAGATGCTATACTTACTTCTTACTATCCCTTGAGATAGGTTTAAGCTGAAAATAGGAGAATGGCTGTTTAAGTTCATTGTGACAAGAATCATGGATGAACATGATTGAAACTGAAGAATGAGCCCGCTGAAGACACATATTAGCTGGGTTCACCCTTCACATAATTATTATTTTTTTGTTTGGTTCAGGATCATCTGTCAACCCATCCACTGAAGTATATAAGCTCTTGTTTATTGCTTGGTGTGATGCCTGAATCCATCAAAATACACTTAGTTAATAAGCTCTACTTTTAAAAATGTGACATAAAGAGGTCATCCTCTCTCTCTTCAATTCTCCCTCCATAAACATTTTAATAAAACAAAACCAGTGAAGACAGGCACAGTTAAAGGTTGGGCTATTTTCAAGAGAAAACATTTTGCTATTTCTTTCAATTACAGGTCTCTTCTGCCTTGAATAAAGGCAATTGCATGACTAGTATTCCTCATCAATTTAAGAATCAATGCATTACAAATGGAAAACTAGCACTGTTCTCTGATACCTTATGTAAATCCAATTCACGGGAGTTGCCCAGCCATTTAAATTATTGTGCAAATTATAACCATCATCCTTCGTCATCAGCATAGCCTTAAAGAATATGAAATTTTTATTGTTTCTCGAACTGCTATGCTAATAAGTGTTCTGTACTGCTGGGTGCTTTAGCAACAGACAAACTTATGCTGGAAGAGGATGAATAACTGCCCAGCATGTGCTTAAACATAACAGCGCCACACCGAGCTTCATCATTTGTCAGCTTTATTTGTTTAAATGAGAAAAATGCTGACAGCAGTTATTGCTATAATCTTTTTATTTATCAGACAAGGAAACTTTACTTACTCTTAGCAGGTCTCATACCATTGAGAAAATAGAAATTGGAATAGTTTATAGCCAATTTGAAGCACACTCATTTAAAATAGGTTTAAGAGTTTCAATATATTTTAAACCCTTAACAAATACTCTTTTAATCATTGGAAACATTCAGATCAAGAGGCAAAAAACTCAAGATCTCAAGGAGCAATAGACAAAAATGAGCTGATGCTCTTTGATCAGACGTGGCCACCATAATGTATCATAGTTTGGTGAGGTAAGAATGAGCCACACATATAGGTAGATGCAGTGCTTTTTTTGTTAAAAAAAAAAGGTGCCGGAACTCACACACGTCATACAACCTGCCTTGTCTACCCTACAAGGTTCCATCTAAAAAAGGTGCTGGAACTCCATTCTGGGTGTTCTATGACAAAAAAAAAAAGCCCTGGGTAGATGTCTAGGTAAATGTTTTCGAGTGAAGGATGTCATTGTTGTTGTGAGTTATATTTCAACATTGTGGGATCTGATTGTTTTTGAAAAATATTGAAGAATATTGGATATGTTGAGTATGGAGAATGGCCAGGAGAATTACAGTATATTGAGAGAAAGTACTATTAGTCCATCTATCAAAAACTCTTTCCAAAAGTTAAGGGCCATTTTTTACGGCATGTCATGTGATGTTATGCTATGCTATCAAAGCTAATTGTCAAACAAATAAGACACTGAATTCATTCTTTCAAAAGTTTTCTACTAAAAGAAAAAGTCACACTGATCTAACAGATAAAGAAAGGCAGCACTCACAATGAAAGCAATGTATGTATTAATGTCCAGAAATGAAACTGAGAAGAAAACTGTAGGAGAATTGACTAATTTTGCCAATATTACAGTACATAGAAAAGGTCAACATCAGGGCTTAGATAAACATTTTGCACAGCTACCTTTCTTTTCTTTTTTCTTTTTTTTAAAATAGATGTTCAAAGCCAAACTACCTGGACAAATTAACATTCTGAGAAGTCTGACTGTATATGGCATCTATGCAGGGATCATCCTGCTGAGAAAAGTGTTAATGTGATTGCTTTACTGAGATATTCTTACATGCCCAGACTGCAATAAGCAACATTTACTGGGCTAGTACAAAGCAATTGGCAAGGAGGCTAGAAGTAAATGTGAATTGAATTGCAAGTTGGGTATGTGCCAAAGCCAATCACATCACTCTTCCAACTTGCAACAAACCTGATGCAAATCCATTCTCAGCAAACTAATTAAAAGGTGAGCACCTGCTTTCTTAAGCATCAGATTTATGCCAATACAATGACGGAGACAGAGCAGATACTGTATCCAGAGTTCAGAAGAAAGAGGGATTGTCAATGAAGTATTCCAGATTTTTTAAAACAAAATGGTTTTCATTTACCCCTATTACGTTTTCTCAGCCTAGTGATCACTGCAACATTCTCTCCTAATATATGAGGCACATCTTCTATTATAGCTCCCACAAAAGATAAGAATCAAAAGGTTTATTACATGTAAGCAATTTTTTTTTCTCAAGTTTCACAACCTTGAGTTCAACTAGTAATTCTAAAGCTATCCGTTACTTGAAACAAGAAGCATTTCACCTGAACAGAAATTTATCTGTGTGTGTCAAACACACACACACATACAAACCTTTTGCATAGTTCTAAGAGCACATTTGCCTTTCTGTGCTCATTGTCACCAGAAATACCAGACAGTTGTGCATATAGTCAAAGCAAGAATATACAGTATTTGCAGCATTGACAGTTACTACTTTGGTAATAAATTTTCTGCAAGAAAACAACCAAGCTCAGAGAGCACCAAGGACCCTCATTTCAATCCTGAACTCCAAATATTCTCTTCTATCAATTTTTACCACCAAACTCTGCAACACCTTTTCCCTTTGAATTCTCCTCCAAAATGGTCCAAAATATACCCTACCAGAGGCATAGAAAAATTCATCATTGGTGATCCCAACGCAACTTGTGTCTCAATATCATGAAATAAAAATGAAAAAGAGCATCAAACAGTTCATGACACAAAAGGAACTACACAGCCTCAGTTACTAGAACAAGTGAGTTTAATAGATCTGTTTCAAAGATTAGATGCCCGTGAGCTGAAATAGTTGTACTGGTAATTTAAATGTGGATAATTAAAGAACAGTGCCTTGGTCCTTTTGTTTTGAAAGTCATGATTAAATGAATATTTTTCCATGTTCTTTACCAGGATTGTTTCATATACAATCTATAACAGTCTTACTTTGAAAGCAAACTTTGAAACCCCACAACCAGCAACACAATCAGTAGCAACTGTGTTGCACATGACTAACACCTAATAATATGTGACACTCTCTAAAGGTACCTGCTTCCCTCATTTCACCTCACCGGCTTTACAAAATGCCTTATTTCCAAGATGCAGAGTTGCTTAGCAATCTTGGAAGCTGAGGTAGAAGAGTGGGGGAGTCATCGTGACACAGAATTTGAAAGTGTAAGTTAACTCTACCATTAAATTGATTTGTGATACTTATCAAGATGTTTCTAAATAAGCAGGGATATATAGATTTTGCTGGAAGATAACAAACACGTGTTGCATTTGTCAGGGTTTCCCACCCACCCATCTAGCTCACTGACTTAAAATCCCTCTCTTGGCAGGTATTTTATTTATTTTTACTAGAAAATTATGTCTCTTCATTTATTTAACTTATATCACACCTTTATTATTTTTACAAATATCTCAAGTCCAACAAGTTTCTTCCTCTTATTCTCCCAACAACAAACCTGTGAAGTGAGTTGGGCGGAGAGAGAAAGTCTGGCTCAAGATCAGCCCGCTTTCATGCCTAGGGCAGGACTAGAACTCACAGTCACCTGGGATTGGCCACAAGTCACCCAGCGGGTTTTTTGCCTAAGGTAGGAGTAAAACTCAGTGTCCCTGATTATTGATCCAAAGTCACCCAATTGGTTTTCATGGCTAAGGCAGACTTGAACTCAGTCTCCTGCTTTCTAGCCTGATACCTTAAGCATTGGACTAAACTGGCTCTCTGTGTAACTTCATAATGGCCCAATGCCTTGGAGAAAATGAGATGTTGATACAGCATCTCCCCTAGCTAACATGGGACATAAAGCAAATAAACAAGCCATGATATTCACTAAGGTTCAAGAATATTATCTAAAGCAGGGGTCTTCAAACTTGGCCCTTTTATGACTTGTGGACTTCAACTCCCAGAATTCCACAGCCAGACATGCTGGCTGAGGAATTCTGGGAGGTGAAGTCCACAAGTCATGAAAGGGCCAAGTTTGAAGACCCCTGATCTAAAAGTCACCCATTTTTTTTTACCATTTATCTGCAATTCTAATACACTTGTAAGTTAATGAGTATAGGGCTGAAGTCTCCAACATAGATACCTTTGTGATGCAGAGTCCACACTTCTTGATAGTTGCCAGAGCCCTGGCCCTATCATATATTTTATAAAAAAATAAATCTGAAAGCAACTGAAAAAAAATGCATCAATCCTTTGTGCTCAGTTATGTCCCTTGGGCAGCCATTTTGTGAATGGGCAAGCTCTTGCTTTGACAGCCATTTTAACTTGCTTTCAAAATTCCAAATGTATGGATGGATTGGGTAAAGGCTGGCAAACCCTAGCATAGGGTTATTTATCACTTACCTGTGATTTTGTCCATGCTCTCCTCCGAGACATGCTCATTTTGATGAACCCACTCCCCGTTGCATTTAAAGAAGATCTGCATCGCTGGCATGGCTCTGCAGCGTAGCACAATTGGATTGCTTTTAATTATATATGCATCATCAGGTTCTTGCATGAAATGGGGAAGCGTCCCAGGAGCAGATGGGACAGATTCTGGGAGGGTTTCACTGGTGTCAGTTCCTGTAAAAACAAAAAAAGAGGATGTCATACCATATAAAGATCTTCCATCAATCCCAACTAAAGGCAATGAGTATCTTCTAGATATCGGTACTCTTAAGGAATTGAGCACTTCCATCATGTTCTGATAGAGCATCAAACAATGATTTCCAAATCGCAATAGCTTGTTCAAACAGTACATGCCATTTCCCAAATCCAAAGCAATAAAATTATGCTTAGCATAGCATGTGAACTCAACATATCTATCAAAAACATATTAGGGCTTGCCTTATGGATCTCCTTAAGTTGCTGGGGAAAAACATGAAAAGGTATATTAATGCTTACTTATGCAGCCCACATAGAGAGAGAGAAAAAAATGAAATATAATATAACCATATAATCAGAAAACACTGGAAAGTCTAAACAGGTCATCTGCCTCAACGTCTGGTGAGGTGGACACCAAAGCAGCAGAAAATGTTTTTCTTCCATTTTAATTTTTCAATATTGACTCCTAGTTCAATTTACTTGGTGATTTGTATTTACCCTGAGTTTAAAAAGAATTGAATTTCACTTCATATATAGTAATACAGTCTACCTTAAAATAGATAGGTTTTGTTACAATTGTTATGTGAGTTTGACTTCCACTGCTCGCATCAATTTTCTGCAAGGCAGAGTTCACAAATAAAAACTTGATTTTTGTTCAAAATTTATGGCCAACAGTGCATTCACTATCTGCTTTTCCTTGGAAATACCAGTTGTTGTTTAGTCCAACAACTTTTCAGAGAATAATGTTTTTGTTATGACTAAATTCCCTTTCTTGCTCTTAGGGATGTCCTACAGCACATTTTATACAATAACATGGTGTTCAGTTTTATAGAGCCATATAAATGGTTGAAAGCCACCAGATCAAAGTGCATCAAACAATAACAATTGGAATGTACTGCTTTGCTAAGGGAATGTCTAGTGCTTTCGACAGTCTTTTTAAAGACTTTATAAAATTCAGCTTAAAAAAATCTGGTGCCAACTTAAAATGTGTCTTCCTTAGAGCTACTGATTTGGGCAAGGCCAATTTATGCCAGGTAAATCTTTCTTTACAAACATGCAAACGAACAAAAACCCAAAACAAAACAAAAAAATCCCTTCCTATATTTAAGAAGGGAGGAAGACAAGAGAGGAAATAAAGACAATATTTTTTCCAATATTTGGTTTTAATTTTATCATTTGTTTTCATAAAGATGTGCTGTTTCTGCTTTCTCCATCACAATGTCAAAAAAGCAATTCAAGTGGGTTGGCTGTCATCACTGCAAACACATAAAAAGAATTCAAAGGCATGTTTTAATCCAATTGAATGAAAGCCAAGAGAAACAAATGCAAGATATTTTTTTTCTTCTTTTGCATAGCACTACGTGCCTACACCTAGCCATACAATATGAACACTTTGAAAATTAATGGCCCCACAATGTTTTGGGAGGAAAGGCTGGAATCACATCTGACCCAAAATTAAAGCTACAAGAAGCCTCCTCAACCCTTCCACTCTCAAATAAGTGTTTGTGTTAACAGTTTTATTTTAGTGATCCACTGAATAATGCTGTTTTCCTAAGATAGAAATGGTCAAATTGGGTGACCATCACTTTCTTATATGGGTGGAATGAGACAGTTTATTCCTTTTTGTAAAATATTCTTATTTGAGGAATGTGGGATTTTTCCCCCCTTGATTCTTTTTTCCTTCATCAATCTTTGGAAGTCTTAGGAACACAAAGGAGGTACAAACTAGGATCAGTGATGTTGGTAATACTAGTAGCCATTCCTGTTCTAAGAGAAGGATAAGTACAGTTGGCACCACCAGATGTTTCTCAACTTCTGTTACCACGTTAAGTGGGAAGCCATGATGGGAGCTGACATCCAGTATTATCTAGAGGATCAAGCAAGAAATTTTATCTATATAATCAGGTGTGGTTGGAGTTTCTTAAGGTAAAATACTCACAAAACAGAATTGATCTAACCAGACCTGTTGGGTCTCTAATGGAGACAGGTTACCCAGATCAACCATCTGGATAAACAAATGCTAGATTTCTATGATAAATTCATGGTCCCACCTCTTTACAGGCTCCTTCATTAATGAAACCTGGTTGTTCTTTCAAACCAAGGAAGCTGGACAATTGTAGTGGCCAGTTTGGCTGGGAGAGTAGCCATATTTTTATTACTGTTAATGTTTTTAATCACAATTCCCAGTTCCATAGTAATGTTTCTAGTTACTGTTTTCTTTGTATGTTATATATTGGGGGGCTACTTTTAGAACCAGTAGATTGGAGCAGCCTATAAATAAGCTGATAAAGTAAGGAAGCAAGTATAACTGAGAAATGAGGAAATGATGGAAAGTTTGAGGTGATTTCAACTCCTTTTTAACTCCTACTGATTATCTGGACTAGTTCCTGCAGTTTTCTGGGCAAGATTTCAGAGTAGCTTGCCACTGCCTCTTTTCTTAGGCTGAGAGAAAGCAACTGGCTGACTTTGTGCCTAAGGTAAGAGTAGAACTCACACTGTCCTAGTATCTAAGAGGATACTTTAACCACAACATCAAATTGTCTCTCACAAGCAAGCAAGCAAGTAAAATAATTGAAAAATGGGAATGTAGCACATTGCAAAACAATCTCACTTTTCAGTATCATCTTCATTCTAAAAGAAAGTCTTCAGGCCTTTATGTATATCTTAACAACAACAATAAGAAGAACAGTAGCTTGGTGCTTCGTTTAGAAGACAATGGTGAGCTACAGAACCGTGATGGCACGGGGGTTTGAATGCAGTTTTGCAGGCTAATTCATCTCACTGCCAGCAGTTTGATCCTCATCAGATCAAGGTTGACTCATCCTTCCAGCCTTCTGAGGTTGGTAAAATGAGGACCTAGATTGCTGGGGGCAATAGGCTGATTCTGTAAACTGCTTAGAGGGTGTTGTAAATTATGCAGAGGTACATACTGTAAGTCTAAGTGCTATTGCTATTGCTACAAGATAAAAAGCATCCTGGATGATATGAAGAAATATTAAGAAATAGCAAGAGCTATTCTAGATGTAGTGGCAGAGAGCAGTTATATCAGTATCAGATTTGTGATTACCCCCACCAACACTTGGCAATTATTTGGCACACTCAAAATTCCAAGCATGCTTATGAGCCCTAAAACATGAGGTGGTCCGTTCCATCATATTAAGCCAGATTCACTGAGCTGTCCATGGTACTGAATCACAATTCTGCCATTAAACCAGGAGTCCCTGTTATGTCAACCTTTCCCTGAAAGTCTTCATCAGCCCTTGAATAGGTCCAACTGGTTCTGTAAAGTCCATTTATCCTTGGCATTTGGGTTCAAAGCTCAATACCATCATTAGATATAAAATGAAATCATTTTTTTTTTAAAAAAAAGTTCCTGCAGCTTAAAGACAGTATAACTCCCTGGCTGACCAAGCTAAAATCAGTGTCCAAAAGCTTCTAAATAAGACTTTCCAAGGGACATCCACCTGCCTTTTTTAAAAATCTGATGCACAGTTGGAGCCTCCATTTTCCCCTCTTTTCACAATAATTTTTATGAACAGATGACAGAAAAATATGGCAAAAATAAAAAAATCCCACCTACCCCCTCTGAAGCCCACAAGAGTTTATTTGCTGTAAGATTATAAAAATAATGTTGTGTGAGAAAGAATATTAGTAAAAATGCACATATAATCATTATTCAGATAAGAAAAGGGAACCAGATGGGTCTTATCTACAGGTCTTAATTAGGACACCTGATCCCCTATCCCCTTTTGCATTTTCTCTCTGAAATTACTTAAGATGTTGATGGAAGGGAGAGATTTGATGTCATCGCAAATCCCTGAAACCTTTGTACCTTTAATACACAGATTTACTAAAGCCTTCAGGGATATGGTATTTAGCAAAGATTGACAATAACGGAAACAGCTAGGGTGGTCAGCAAAGGAACATGCATGCTGATTTGTTTTTCAGCTTATAAAGACGGCAAGGAATTATAACAGATGGAGGGGAAGCAGAGAAGGTGAACACTTCATATTTTGCAGCCTGAGAAGATAACAGTCACATGATTTTAGCATGTGGTTTCGTTCTCTAACATTATCCAACACCTTTCTTTAATCAATCTGGTTTGTCAAACTCATTGCTGCATTTTGTTGTTGTTGTTAGTTGCAAAGTCATGTCCGACCCATCACGACCTCATGGACAATGTTCCTCCAGGCCTTCCTGTCCTCTACCCTCTTCTGGAGTTCATTTAAACTCATGCTTACTGCTTCAGTGACTCCTTCCAGCCACCTCATTCTCTGTCATCCCCTTCTTCTATTGCCCTCCATCTTTCCCAGCATTAGGCTCTTCTCCAGTGAGTCCTTCCTTCTCATTAGGTGGCCACAGTACTTGAGTTTCAACTTCAGGATCTGGCTTTTAAAGAACAGTCAAGGTTGATCTCCTCTAGGACTGACCAGTTTGATCGCCTTGCAGTCCATTCTTTGGCGCTCAGCCTTTCTTATGGTCCAACTTTCACAGCCATACATTGCAACTGGGAAGAGTGATCCAGCTATAGGTAGCCCTCAACACACAACCGCAATTTATGTTGCTAAGTGAGAAATGTGTTAAGTGAGTTTTGTCCCATTTTACAATCTTTCTTGCCACAGTTGTTAAGCGAATCACTGCAGTTGTTAAATTAGTAACACGTTTGTTAACTGAATCTGGCTTCCCCATTCACTTTGCTTGTCAGAAGGTCGCAAAAGGTGATCACATGACCCTGGGACACTGCAACCGTCATAAAAACGAATCAGTTGCCAAGCATCCAAATGTAAATTACGTGACCATGGGGATGCTTCAATGGTCATAAGTGTGAAAAATGGTCATAAGTCACTTTTTTCAGTGCCGTTATAACTTTGAACTTTAAATGGTTGTTCACACTTTGAACTGTTATTAAGTTGAGGATTACTCATACTATCTGAGTGGGAGGAGCAGGTAATACAGACACACACAGACACATACACACA